GAGGAAGGGTCACCGGACCCGAAACGTTAACCCTGTTTTTTCCTTCACAGATGCTGCCAGACCTGCTGAGCTTTTCCAGTAACTTCGTTTTTGTTCCTGATTTACAGCATCCGCAGTTCTTTTGGTTTTTATTTAGAATCCTATTGGACCCTGAATGACTAGGCTTATGGCAATAAATCTGGGAGAAATTGAGCAAAGCCTTTCTCAATGTTGGGAGAAACTGGCTGTATTTTCCTACATTTCAATCTTTCCAGGTGATAAAACATTGCTTGTGCATCACAGTCATCTGTGGGATTGATTTGGAATATTTTATGATGTAGTCATGAGTGCTTGGGACATGGACTTGGACTGCACACTATAAGTTAATGCCTAACATTTACATAGCATGTAGTGCTTGCAGGTGTGTTTCAATTTTAGTGTAACGGTGTCTGTAATGCTTTTGCCTTTAGAAAAGCCTCAGAATTGAAGACCCCTCTCACACAGAACCCATGCACTCCAAGTCTGGTCACAACTATTTTCTGCTCCATTCTGCTCTGTTATTTCCAATGATAGTTGCTTCTCAAATAGGGAGTCTTAAGCTCAGCCTCTTCCAATGGTGAACCCCCAAATGCATACATTTTATTCTTGGTAGCCAGTCCTGTCAACCCCATAGGCTTTGAACTTCCACATTCCCCAGCCAACCAATTTTGCTGTGTCTCTATCTCCCCAGTTTACTCCCCCAGTCCCAGGTATGTTGAGCAAAGATGCCAGATACAGTGGTGCACAGTCCCATGTGGAAGTCAGGGTGCTGGTGATTTTTTTTATTCGCTCATGGGATGTGAGCTTTGCTGACTAGGTCAGAATTTATTGCCAATCCTAAATTGCTCAGGGGCCAGTTAAGATTCAATCACATGGTTGTAGGCTTGGAGTCGCATGTAAACCAGACAAGGTAAGGATGGCTGATTTCCTCTCCTAAAAGACATTAGTGAACCAGATGGGTTTTTACAACACTGGTTACATGGTCGGCATTAGACTAATTTTTTGATGATGAACCCTACTCCCGCATTATCTTTATCCCTTCAATTCTCTAATGTCTCCTGCCTTATATGTTGAACTGCCATCCCTTCGCAATTATTATCCCTTCTGTATCCCACATGCTGTCTCCAAACACCACAACTAAGATGCCATGTTCCATCCTGTAGCGCTGGCCCCAATACTTCCCCGTTGACTTTTCACGGACGGACTCCCAGGGCTGACTTAACTCAACAGCTCAGAATGATGAGACCAGAAACCTGACTAATATATATAACTCTTCGACTGTGTTCCCATGGCTCCTCAGACTAGTTGCAAGAGACCCACAGGGCTGACTGTGGCCCATTCCCAAACTGCAGAGGTATGGACCACTGACTATGACTGTTGTCAGCTGACACTACTAGACTGATATTGGAGGCAGCCACTGACTTACTGTGTCGAGATGCACTCCCTGAATGATGTCTCCCTTGACCTGACTCTGGTCTACTCCCCTAAGGTTTTGAGACATGGCCATTTGCTTGAAGTATATGCATTGTGTTTGGCACATTCACAGCTGGAACAAGGTGCACAGCAGCAATCTGCCGTACAGCAACAGAACCACACCCTATACCGATGACTGTTGACAACCATGACAAGCTGCCTGGCTTTGTGTCTGCATTGAAAGGTCAAGGCAAGAGAAACGAATGTGCACCCAGTAGCTTTGGATAAGGGGGCAAAGTGCAAAAAGGCAAGGCATAGTGAGACAAGGCAGAGATGCACTGAGCATTCTATTAGTACAAAGTGATTGAGTATTAAAGAGTAAATGAGAATTCCTGAGATTGGTGTCTCTGCCTGAGCATAAAGTGCTCTTGCAGCAGCATTGCAATGATAGGTGCCTGAGTGCTCCAAAGTGGAGCACTGAAGCGCAATATTGTACAGGAAGTGGATCGGAATTGTGCCAAGATGATACATTGAGCTGGTACATGTCAGACCATCAAAGTGTGTTGCATGCAGTCACTGTCCATTTATTGTGCCCTGAGATGCTGGTGTCACGTGTCCAAGATTGATGTCTGGACAAGCAAATAGCAAGCTCAAGTCACCAGGTAACCACTCACTTTCAGGTTCGGTATTCTTGGTATCTAATTCCTAGACCTGGAAAAGGGCAGCAGAGTGGTGACGATGATTGGCTGAAATGGGGATGATTTGCATCAGTACAGTCACTGCTTCCAAAAGGAGGAGCATGAGGATGACGGAAAGCATCATAGACAATTGTTTTAGAGATGTGGTGACACCCAAGGTGCAGGTAGATTGATAGGTGACCACTAGAAGGGGCAGGCAGCAAGTGCAGGAATCCCCTGTGGTCGTCCCCCTCTCTAACAATATACCATTTTGGATACTACTGGGGGGGATGATCTATCAGGGGATAACAACAGCAGCAGCCAGACTGGTGGCACCACAGCTGGCTCTGTTCTTAAGAAGGGAATGGCAAACAGCACTATAGTTAGGGGCACAGATAGGCACTTCTGTGGACATAACAGAGATTCCAGGATGGTATGTTGCCTCCCTGGTGCCAGGGTCCAGGATGTCTCTGAACAGGCAGAAAGCATTCTGAAGAGAGAGGGTGAATAACCTGAGGTTGTGGTACATATT